TCACACAGCACAAGCAGCTAAACCTCCTTAATTAGGAAGTGCTAAAGCACAGAAGAACCCCTGTCCTTCTGTCTATAAAGTGCTCATGATTTCAGACTGATAAACTCTGTGGCACAACAGAGAATACAAATACAGCACACCTGTGTGCGTGCTACAGAGCACCTTGAGAACAAAAACTCTAGTTCTTTCTTTAGTTTCTCACCTCCAGTAGATGTCTTGGCACTAGGAATGCTGTCTCCAAAGCCTAAGAGACTCAATAGGTTAGGAGCTGCCTTTCCAACACTTCTGATAAAACAGAGGTCTTGATTCTTGGATGGGAATCCACAAACTCAGGTTTTCCTGACAAGTCCTTGACTTCCATGTTGGTACTTAACAGCACTGGCAAGCATTAACATTTCTTTCCCCACAACTAGTGCACGTGAAGGTCTGGGAGCCCTTCTGAAAAGTGTACATCCACCACACTCCAGCGTCTGAAAACTAAAGAGAGGTCACATGACAAAACCCCAGCTTCACGCTTTGATTTTTTTGAGAGCCTAACAAAACATATGTGTTGAAAGCTGTTAAGGGCAGGCTGCCATTAGACCGAGCTTAAAGTGGTGGGTTAATAAAAGGTGCAATTATTGGGCTAAGCAGGCCCCCTTCCCTCTTTAAATGTCATCCCTCAGGATGAACAAACTCTTCTATCTTTAAATAATGTTAATTTTTGCTAGGCTCATCAGGGAAGGAAGGAGTCTTAAAACACCGGTGCAGGGAAATCTCTCTGCCTTCTAAAGTGATGTGCCTACGCTGAAGTAACATTTCTCCCACTGAAACAAACTATTTTCACAGCTTGATCAGTTTATCAGCTGAAGTTAAACGCTGGCCACTCTTGCCATGAGTAGGAGGAGCATTAGAGCAGGAAGAATTACTCTTTGCTAGAGTCACTAAATCCTCCAGAAATTATTTACTTACTAAATTACTTTTAATCCATTAATCTCAAAGAGGTCATGGGAGAAGGAAGAGAGAATGTCTGAAGAACAAACATGATACATTCAACTGCACACAAAAGAGTGCAGAGCAAGTCAAAATAGCAGCCAGGTTGATAAAAAAAGAAATAAATTAGTGAATTGAACTCCTGCATGCAAATAGCTAACAACTCCTTTATAAAACTGCAGTGCATAAATTCTCAGGAATGAAGAACACGCATATGCACACATATGAAAAGAAATCCAAAATAACAGCAGTGTCTGGGAGTCTTCTTCATGAAAGAGACTCCATTGTGACAACGAAGCGTGTTTACAATCTAATACACTGGTCCATCTGATCAGTTCAATACTACTTTGCATTTTATAAAGCAAAGAATATCCAGGCACCTTAATTTAATTATTAAGGGGGAAGACTTTCAAAGGAGCATGTAAATTGTTCTGGGCACTTGTGCGGTCACAGGCTTTGTTTACGCACCAAAGGACCATTTCCTTCATGCCTGATATACAGAGATAGCCACTAAGCTGAATTCCTCCTCCATTTCAAGTCCTGTCAGCCCCTCTCAACAAATTCAAATTCATCCAAGAACTTTTACTTAAAAATTAGCAGTCGCTGAAAGAAAAGACTGTGTATTTTCCATGGGCAACACCAGTCAGCTGGATTTGAATGTCAGATTTATAGCCTCTTAAAAGAAAGGCTGTTACTTTTATGGCTCTTAGAGAAAACAGCTGAATTTAATAACCACACCAGGGGTGTTCCAATTATGTGCTTTACTTCTGCTGCATTACAGCAATTTTAAGAACAAAATTGCAGCCTGTGAGATAGAATTAGATAAAGTTACCTGCTGTGAAAGGTTTGGCATTGGGGTGGTTGTATATAAAAGCTGAGATGACAAGCGTGCTTGCAGGACATTTCCAAGCGGAGAAGAGCTGGAGTTATTCTGCAACCTCTCTCAGCAAGCAGGTAATGTGCTTGAACAACATACTTTTTACTTGTTCAGTGCTTACAGATGCTTGTATCAGAAGAAACTTGCATTAGACAAGACTGCGAAGAGCACTTATTAAGGAGCAGAGACATTAGAACAGCAACGGGCTAAACCGAACACATCTGTCAAATATCCACAGGGACTTTCATGGAACCTTCAAGGTCCAGGCATTCCTAAAACTCTAAAAGGGTGTTCAAAAATCCTAATTCAGATCTTCATCCAAAATTTTCAGATGTTAAATCTCTTTATAATGAGCCAATCCACACTTGGAGAGACTTAAAATCCAGCTGTGGCTGACACGTAGGCACAATGCCACTGGGGCACAGATCAGAACTACAAATCCAGAAATGTAACATTTTCTTAATTTTAGGAGATAAAAATGGAGCTGTAATGTCGTTATGATCAGAACGATGTTTTGTTCTCTCACAGAATGGAGAAGTCCAGGAAGATCTTTGCTAGCGTCCTCCTGTTTCTCCTGTCTGTAGAAATCTGCCTGGCTCAACACTGGTCTTACGGCCTGCAACCAGGAGGAAAACGGAATGCCGAAAACCTGGCAGAATCGATTCAAGAGGTAGGTTCTGTAAAACAACCCTGCTGCTTTAGCTAGGATCCCTTATCTGTAAAAGGTGCAGGCAAAAAAGAGGTGGCGTAGGCTTTACTGTACGTATATGTGTATCCCTGTCTGTTTCCCCTCCAAACATAAATACATATGTATATATACATGCACATATTTTTTTAAAGTAGTAATTGGAAATAACTGGCATTAGGGTAAGATACGTTTGACAGCCTTGCACGAGGAACAGCGCTGTCTGTTGCTGACAGAGAGCTTGGCAGCCTGCTCTAAAGCAGAGAGATAAGTCTGCGTTCCAGGTTAAACCTGATTTCATCTTCTCCCGGAATTTCAGCCGGGCTGTTTTATGACAACATTCGCCCACTGCGCTGAGAATGGGGCAATAGGCAGCTGCTACATGGTGAATGATTAGATGGTGAGCACTTCAATGACAAAGCACATATGAAAGGTTCTGTCCACCAGTGGTGTTCCCGTCCTCTCCAATACTTCATGCGTAGTCCCTCGTAACAGCAGTTCTAACATCCGGATTGTAAGTTTGCTGTGGCACAAGTATAGCACCTGGGAAAGAGGTGAATTCAAGCTGTGCAGTGGAACAGTTTCAGCTTCTGTCTGTAACTAGGGTAGAGTTGCTTTAGCAGAAAAATCTCCTTTCATGAAGGCTGTATCACTTCCTAATCCAGATTGCAAATGAAATGGAAAAATTAGGGGAAGTGCAGAAGACTGAATGCCCAGGTTCCTTCCAGCATTCCAGGTTCAGCAATCTGAAGGAAGCCATGGTAAGTAACATGTTTTTTCTTTTATCACTATGGGAAAATTAGAGGACCGGTCCAGACTAGGAACGTACATGGAGGGAAAAGGGTTGTGGAGGAGGAGGAAGAAGAGCCATGTAAGTTTAGTTCACATGGCAATACTGGCTCTGCCCTTATTATCTGCATCATTCTCAAGTACCTCAGAGTTACAGTCCTAGGACAGGGCTACATTATTCTTATGCTCCTGTTGTAGTGATGTCCTTACTCACTAAATTAAAAACAAAATAAAGTCAAACGCATTCGACCTTAATACAAATCTATGCAGCATTCACAGATGCTTAACTTCAAAAGCGCGCTGTGCCAGCTGAAGGATCGAGCCATATGGAAGCTGCTGCTCCCAAGGTCCCTAGACTGGGAAATGTATTTTCCATTAGATGCTCTAATGCAATGACAGCAGAGATTTCACATATGAACTAACTGCCATAGGAAGAATACTCTCAAGCAAAAACGTGCTCTTTAATTAATACAGCAACACCTCGATCAGGCCAGATGGTCACCACTTTCTGGGAAGTGTCTCTGAGCTGTCCTAGAAGTCGAAACACTCAATCTCTACTTCATTTTTGAAGCAAAGACCAAAAGCTTCCAGAACACACTCCAGCCTTTCACTGAGGAACCTGGCCTGAAAAAAGGCTCATAAGCAGCACCAGTAATGCAGTAATGCAGACTGGTCAAGAGCCCGACTTCCATTGAATTTTCATGCAGAAACTACCTAAAATCCAGTATTATTTTTAGGTCATCTTTAATCCTATTTGTATTGAACATAATATAGAATATTTGTTCATGACTCTGGCTTCCAATAGCACTAATTGCAGAATGAAGAGCCAGCAACAGCAGCTTAATATATTTAGACTTTTTTTTTTTTTACTGCAAGAGAGTATGTTAGGCAGGAAAAGATACCAGAATAATTATCAGGATAGTTGAGATGAGTCCTTGATACTTCTTGCTCACTGAGGGAAACTTGGCCTTTCTTTGCAGAGCTGAAGGCACCCCCCTCAATCAAATTCTTAGGTTTGCTCAGAAACTGCTGGTAATCTTGCACATAAATGTAAAAACTTCCAAGCCTCTGCATCGAACACTTAGTTTGCATGTCTTATTCCTGTAGCATAGCCTGAACTATGTCGCCTTCTTATTTCTACCTGCTTAATGACATTGAAAACAAATTAAACTTCTTCCAGATGCAGCTCTTCCAATGTAACACATTCCTGGAGTTGCTACAGAATATTATGCAATGAAATGGGAGGTGTCTGGAAAGGTCCACCCCATAGAAAAACTTCTCAAGTTACCTTCATCATTTCCTGGAGAAGCTGGGACTGAGCACAAACGAAAATACACCTAGCTAAGGCACAGAAGGCTAAAAAAGAACATATTCAGACAGCACATCTATCCAAAACACCTCAGGCTTTCAACTCAGAGGTAGCAACATCAATAAATATTCAAGCAGGAGACGAGATCCAGTAGGATGCGACACAGGCACATGATTTCTGTTCAGGCAGTACTAAGGTACACAGAGAATGGTAACAGGGCAACTGTGCCACTCCGTAATGACCCTGTAAGACTTCTGCAAGCACAGCTTTCCCGTCTCTGGTGTCTTGGCCAACTGCTTAAGCTCACAGAGACATTCTATATACTGACACTTTATGCAAGTTCATGGTTCTTGTCCTAAAGCACCGCCGAAGTGTAGTGTTCAACAGCTGTTGGGTTGCACTCCAAGAACTGCTGCAGTGGTGGACCCCTTAACAGATGTGAAGTTGGTCATGCACTTTGGGATGAAAAGGGCCATTATAAGTGTCAGTTACGTTATACCGTATGATCAGATCCATGGGCAGGTGGCAGAGAGACCATGTCAGGTCAGATTTATGTCATTCTAATCCTCCTTCCAATGGAGATCACAATATCAATATTTTAGCATATGACCAGGCTTTAAAATTCCATCAAAGTTATTTCTTCTCTTTAAAAAAAGTGTATGATGTGTGTTTGCAGGGAAGTCTGATTGAAGAAGCAGCTTGACGAAAGGAGATTTAAACCCACAAAGCCAAAGGGAACAATGGACCCAGAACAAAATTTCAAAGCTACGTTAAAAACAATTCCTCTTCAAATGGCCTCTGCTTAGATTGTGTTATGTGAATAAATACTCTGAAGTTGCATTGAAGTAGCAGAAATAATTGATGTGTAGATTACTAGCTTACATGTAAAAGAGAACACATTCTAGCCCAGTGGCTGGGACTCAGCAACACAGGGTCTGCTTTGTGTCCTGCAATGAAAACTTGGACACGGCAGCTTTTGTTTAACATGTACAATGTCTAGACAAAGGCACTGTCTGATCTCACTAATCGCTGGATAAAACAGTAATACAACTTTGTTAAAAATCAAGAATAAACTTACTGTTGGAATGTAATTCCGCTTGCACTTTAGTAGTCCATGTATGAAAGACTTTTATATGCTCTGTTTTTACTGGTTCACTCATAAAAACTACATTTATTTTAAAAAGGTATTTACAAACTTTACAATAGTTAATGCATTTTAAAAAACATGAAAATTTATACACCTTGCTTTACAGACTTTGTGAATCATATGTCATTTACCCAGAGATGCAGACTCCCTTTCCAAAGCTTAGCTCCTACTCTTTCTTCAGAGCCAGTTTAAAAGCTGGATTTTTTGCTGATTCAATGGCAGAGGACTAAAAGAAAGAGAAAAAGAGAAAGTATTTGCAGTCTGCAGAGGTGGGTTTTATAACTAAACCATCACATCCAGGATCTCAAAACACTCACAAAAACATGTTACACAATATCCATATTCTCCTGAATGAAAGACAAACATGTCCCAAGGTTTATCACGTCATTAAACCTTTACAATACCAACAATGAAAAACTACATCAATTAACACCATGCATATTGGGGCTGAATTTCAGAGGTGCTGAGGACTTACGCCTCTGTTTGAAAGATACAAAAACTGCAGACCATGCCTGCGAAAGCAAATTCAAAGTATGCAGTCATGCACGCCCAGGGATTTCAATGACAGCTTTAAATCAGAACAGTCAGACCAATATGGCATAAATGGATGCCTTTCACCTTTTGTTAAGCTCCTCTATACTGCTTTGTGTACTCTCTATAGTATAGAGACTGTATATAAATAGTACAGAGCATATATATATATATATACACACCCACACATACTGTCCTAAAGGTGCTTTAATGTTAATTGGAGCAGAATTAGGTGAACCTCATAGGCTTTTTGGTCAATGAAATCACATAATTTTTTCACTTTTTCTTTCTGATGTAGTCCTAGGAAAAGCTCACCCTAGTCCACTAGGTAATCTGGTCTGCAACAGTAAATATAAAATAGAGAAGTTTTTAATTTCAAAGAAAAAAAATGAAAGAAGGTAGCAGTAATGGGTCAGGAATGTTTTCACTATAAAAAAAGATTAAATTACAGACATCTCAAACTTATTTCCATTTACAATTATAAAAATAAATAAGGAGGAAAATTTGAGCCATTATCACAACAAGTCTAACTCACTGTTAATCTGTGGAACAAACGCTGGGCTGCATGGTGTGAAGGTTATTAGATAGATGCAGGTTCTCAAAAACCACTGCATATACATTATCGTATTTTCTGCCACTGCAGATCACAGAGCTGTTCTCACTGGAATCGGTGTCCTTTCCTAATCCAATAATCCACTGAAATGGAAAGCTGTCTGTTTCTCTCTTCCCCTGACGTGGATTAGAGCCTGTAACATTTTTAAAGGAATTTATCACAGCATGACAAATTTTAATTAAAAGCTCCAGAAAACAAGTGTTGAGCATATTTCTCCAAAGAAAAAAAATCCTCCAAGACTTGAAATTTAACACTAGCTTTGAACAGCATGGCTTTGAAATGGGATTAGATTTTGTCTTCTCTGCAGACTGGGTATTTAACTTGTTTTATTCAAAACTATGAACTGGCTAGAAACACTGCTGTTTGCTTTCATTTCTGGTATGCAGAGATGACATCATTATGGACTGTTCTCCTACTCCCATTTTAGCCCTCCAGTTTGAAAGACATTAACACAGAAAGATGATTCTCATTTTGTAAAGTAAGTAGTGGGACCTTAAATTGTCTCTGAAAATTAAATCTCAGAACTGAAGTCAGGTAGGTACCGTAGCAAAGAGCAGAACACTTTAAAAAATGGGGTGTCGGGTGGGATTTCTCTTAAGGATGTGGGCACTTAATTCCACTTAATTAAAATCAGTCAGGCCCCATGCTTATTCACACACTTAAATGCCCAACTGCCTTTAAAACTCTGACACTTAGAAGACAACGCTTTTTTCTAAAACTGGCACGAAACCCTAAATTATTTAGGCACAGTACAGAAATGCCATCTTGCACCTCTAAGCAGACCACGCTGACTTATATCAGCCAAGAACATAACTCTTCACATACCACAGTCAGTAACGCACTTAAGAAGCCTGAACTCCTGTTTGTGAGTTAGTTTGCCAAAAGGCAAGAAGGAGCAGTGGGAAGAGTTTACAGCACTTCAGACTCTAGAACAAAAATAATGATAAGAAAGAAAAAAATCCCTCAACCTTAAACCCCTTTCGGCATAAAAAATTTGCCAGTGAAAACGCTCAAAATATCTCGGGAAGGAAACTCTCCTTACTCTGTACTCTTCAGGCATCCCTTCCCTCCAGGGAGGGTGATGCCTCAGCTACAGCAGTCACCAACTGGCCGGACAACAAAGGCGGCAAGAAGCAAAGCCTGAACTGCGAGGGCAGCACACCAAGATAAAGCTCAAGGACCCTGCCAGGTGAGACAGTGCAACTGCAGCAGAGCATCCACGGAGATGGTGTCTTCACTGCTTTTTAAGGAGCTGGCTCTATAGCAAAAGCCAAAGATCAAAATACAAATGAAAGGCCTGTTTCAGCCACTGCTCAAATTACACAAAGCACCGAAGCTCCCTACATGTCTGCCAGCGCTGGGATGGGTTACGGCCACCACCCTGCTTGTTCCCCTGACTCTCCAGGTGACTTGGGCATCTTGCTAGCTATTGGCACCCAGATCAGCACACAGGAGAGACAGCAACTGTTCTTATTCCTAATGGCTGGCAGCTGCGCGATCCAAGGCAGGAAAGGAGAGGAAAGGATAATTAACCACTTCCATGCCAAGTACTTTGTTCATAAACCTAGTCTATAAAACTGCAAAAAAAAGCAGAGCCGTCTCCTCAAGTTAAAGAGCATTATGTAAAGGGTCTTTAAAGACCAGCTGAACAATTCTTCCCAAGGTCAGACTTCCTCCCATGAGGTTTGGTTTTTTGCATGGGCTATTTCCCTCCTCCAGGAAAAAAAAAAAACCCCTCTGAGTCTACAAGTTAAAGTTATTAAAACAGATCAAACGGGTAGGGAAATAAGACTCAAAAAATGTTACTTGGAACCAAAACACCCAAACCGGATTGCTAGCTTGTTTACCCAGGACAGACAAAGCATTAGCTGGGCTTCCAGCAAAGTCTCCTTTGTTTCTGCTGACTTACCAAAGGAGTTAAAAGCAAACCTGCTCTGCAAAGGAAATGCACCTACAAATGAGGTAACAGGCAGATGCAGCACAGGGGAAGGCACTGAATTAACAATAGGTGGTGTTAATATGTACTTTTGGACCGTTCAGACCACATCCTGCTGTTCTGCCCACAGCAAAATTCTCACCAAAGTTCTTGTTCAAGTAAAGAGTTTCAGAGGATCTGTTAGTTCACGTGTGCAGCAGAAGGAAGACAGTGGTTATAAGAGGAGGAAGAAGCGGACAAAAAATGAGACAAGAAAACCCTGTGGTTTTCAAGTCAAGCAGTGTCTATGTCCAAGAACACAATGTGGAGCTGACAAGTCCTACAATGCACCAGAGAGACGGGGTGAACCACGGCCAAGCTGTCCAGAAAGGTTTCAAAGATTTCCCCTGAGAAGGCAACAGCCCAGAAGACGGCTGAACGTGCACTGCAGCGAACATCGGTGCGGATGTATGCAATCTGACTGCAGCGCAACTTCCAAAATGTCTCCAACCTGTTTTGTGATGTGAATCCAATATGACCCTTTGATGAAAGCAATCTGTTTCGCAGAGCCATGCAGGCAGCAGAGCAGACGTGGCTTCTGCAGGTTTCTTTAACTGGAGTCACGCTGAAGCCAAAGCAATGTACAAGAACAAAAGAAAGGACTGCTTCGGTCTGAACAAAAAAACTCTAGGGTTTCAGCGGGTTTGTTCTGCCACGAAAAAGGCTTTGCTGAGAAAAGCTTTCATTAGGTTCAACAAACTTCCATTTTTCAGTAAGGTAATAAAACCCATTTCAGTCATGTGAGCAGAATAACGGTGCAGTGGCCTGCAAAAATACCCAACCCAAGAGTATTTGTATTTACTACTGTGAGCAACATCCTCAGAAGGGTTTTTAGTGTGTTTCCCCAACTCCAACCAGATAATCAGAAGCTAAATGACAGTTACAGTCAAAAAGCAAAATGATTTCCTGGAAGAGAGCGCCCATGACAGAATCTTCATCAATACAGACAACAAATAAACAGGCTACAAGCTGTAACCAAACAGCCAAAGTTTTGTATAGGTTCAGAAATAAACTTGGATCCAAATTCCTCACCTGGTGCCTCTTTATGACGAGTTCTAAGAAACTCTGAATTTTCCAAAAAAGTTTGAATCTGAACTTTGCAGACGAACTGCCAGGTTTCCTGAGTTCCATAGTGAAAGGGTACAACCACCACCAGCGGGTTTTTTTCCTTCCTCTGGAAAATAGCAGTGAAAAATAACGGCCACAACGAAGGCTATATTTATAAATAGGCCAGGCACACAGGCAGAACAGCACAGCAAGATATTCTGCCTGAATGTGATGAGAGAATATTTCTTACAAATTAGGAAAAACCCAAACTTCACTGGCTTTTCAGCTGCTGGGACTGTGGCACCAAGAGGCAGCTGCAGCTTTGGGGGGATATTTAAAGAAAGTTTCGGTTATGTAGCTTGAAAAGAAAACAGTGAAGTTCTTCACAATGCATTAGTGCTGAAACTGGCGATTTAGGAAGGTCCTGCTCCATACAGTAAAAAAAGAGCTGCTCTATCTTTGGAGTCATCTAGACCTTCTAAGAGTAGAAATACACTTTGCAAGAGAATTTTAAAGTGACTTCTTTTCTGGCTTAGGTGCTGCACCTGCTCCCTGTAAGCCTGCTGCAAAGGGCAAGTCCCCACCGCAGGGGTGCGGCCCTTCTCACAGAGCTCAGAGACCAGCAGCTCTGCAAGGTGCAAAGCGGATCTCCCAACGTTAGGAGTATTAATCACAAATGGCGATGCTCTTGATTTTTACCAGCAAGTTTCCAGGGCCAGCTCAGGCACAGAGGAATGCTGTGTCTAAGGCCCGTCTGGTCCATAAATAACAATGATATTTGTGTTGAATTTTCTGTCACTATGCAACCGTGAGGACAGGTTATTCTAATAGTGTGCAACAGCCTTTTTCTCCATGGATCATGTGGATTTAAGAACATTAAAACCTAAATCACGTCATTTTTTCTCTATACAAATAGAAAGACTGATGCTGACATACAGACAGAACAGGGAATAAATAACTAAAAGAAAAATTAAACAGATTATCCCATCCTCCAAGGAAAGAAAAGCTGCAGAGAGCTGGAGTAGTCCAAGGAACCAATCCAAGTAGGTGGTTAATTGTCAAGTCTTTCACGTGCATCCCAGATCTAAATGTCTCCTTAAAGTCTAGTGGCTGTTCAAAACCTAGATCAAGGGAGGCTCTAAAACAAAGTGCAAGTACTGCCACAAATGGCTGCAGGAAAAAAACAAAAAAAAAGAGGATGAGAATTGTGTGAATTTGCCCAGCCAAAGTAAAGGTTACAGTAACTATCAGACTTTGTTTCTGAGGTCAGGATGCATAACTAGTTTCGCACACTCCATCCTCTCAAAGTTGCTGGTACCAATACAGTGCTGCTATCAATGCAGCTTCTATTCTTCGAACACATTCACAGAAGAGAAGCAACTTTTTACGCCCTATTAAAAAGCATAAAAATAAAATACTGTACCAAGTCCCAGACGCAAGAACAAACCAACTAGATAACATAATTCAGGGAGGAATATCAACTGCTCTGTAGTGTTAAAACCAGAATCAACAGTGAAATTATGACAAAGTATTGGTGAACCTGAACTCTCCTTTGGGAGTGAGCAACTGCCACTACTCGAGCAGAGATGGTGTAAGGCAGAATGTCTGCACTTCATCTTAAATACACAAGATGACTAGCAGAAAAAAAAACCCTTCTTATTCTGCTAACAATGCTCAGGTCTCTGCCTGCAATCAAGAATCTTAGGAGACTGCACATCACACACCGGCACCTGACATCCCAGGAGCCGACATTTCACAATTTAGGAATGGCTGCGATCTGTTTCACTTCATGCAAATCCTGGCTGGCGACACCAGAGGGGCAGGCGGAGGGATCGGTGTGTAAGTACAGCTGTAAAGCTGTAACAAGCTTCTGTGAAAACACGGTAGGACACATCTCCTACTGGTGTGGCTTACCTTGTTTCAGACACTGGTGCAAATCACTGCTCTGACAGATTTACACTAGGAATGAGCTGCTGAAATTGCATCACTGAAAAAACTTGGGACAGACAAGACTAAGACAGACAAGAATTCCAGTAAGGCGACTTCTCCTGCAATGTCATTAGTGTCTCAGTACTGGAAAGTAAACCAGAATTTAGGAATACAGTCACAATAACAGTTCCTCTTGGTATTTTCCCAAAGAAAACTCCGAGGAGAGTGAATGGAAAGGCAGGTGAGATCACTAGTCTTTAGGGTCAGAAAGCCCCAGCATGTCAGTATAAAGAAAGCAGCCTTTTCACTCTAGGTGCTTGCTGTCACACCAGCAAGTGATGATCCTCACTGCAGTCCTTGCTCTGAAGAGACAACGCTGGATTTTCTGGTTTTTGGGGGTGGAGGGGGAGGTTTGGCTTCACGTCTGCTGGGTAGTGGTGGAGCAACCTGAGAAGATAAAACAAAAACACACAGAAAAATAAACCATCACTGGCAAGTGAAGACATTTTGCTTTACCAGACAAGAAATCCAGAAGGTCCTGTAGTACTTCACGTTTCTTTCAGGACCAAACCTTTGAATTCAGCTGCTCAGTACTACGTGCAATTGATGACAGGGGCAAACAAGGACACATCCCCAGGAGATAACAGAAGCAGATACATTTTAGTTGCTAGAATACGCTTTAGTTGCAGATATACTTCAGTTGCTTCTGACCTGCAGCCTGACTTCAAGTCAGAGCCATTTGTCCCTCTATGCCACCTTTTGTTTATCAGTAAAATTACAATAAACTGATTTCCCTCAAGGTTGCAAAATTAAACTATTTTTATCTTGCTGGTTTGATGAGTTGCACCAAGTAGGAGCCAAAAGGATGCTTCCAAACCACAATGGTACGACTAAGCCCATAAAATGGTAGCAAGCAAAGTTCTACTAAAGCAAACCACAGCCTTCCTGCCCAGCACAGCGGCTTGCAGGGCGTTTCTCATTCTTGCAGGAAACACACCGATGGGTTCTATCAAGCTGGCTCTCTACTTGGTTTAAGGTGCATCCTGTAAAAAACTGAGATGTGAAAGGTCAGGTGAACAAGAAGCTTGTGTGGTTCACCACTCATTTGGCCAAAACTCTCAAGATTTCAGGACTATTTTAACAGGAGGAGGACAGAGGCAACTTTACAACAACAACAAAGTAACAAAATGCTTCAGAAAATACTTTTACAATCTCTCTTTACAGCCCTTCAAATCCTTTTCATTTGGCTGCAAGCCAAGGTCAATGTTGCAAGCCAGAACATGTTAGTAATTAGTTTTCTTACAAGACTCAAGGGAAGGAGGCTCTTTTATTAATCCTCTTCAACCAGTGACTCCCACAGCATCCCCAGAGCTGGCATATTTCCGCCACTCACACCACCTACAGCAGCTACACTGCCCCGTTTCAGAAGCACAGTCAATTCCGAGCAAGTGAAGGGCGAAGCAGAAACCCTCCTATTTATCCCATGCTCCCAGGCTTTATGCCAGTGTCGTATCTCAGTGTAACAGAATTAAGCGATCGGCTGATTTGTTGTCTTCCTGTGCTGTCAGAGGTAACGTATCTTGTTACGCGTGATCATTCTTTAAATGCTTCTTGATCAAATTCCCGTTAATCTCACTAAGGTACTCCGTAAATCCTCTTTGCAAATTGGACTCGGGAAGACATTCATCCCTTTCACAGTTACAAAAGGATGCGTCCTCTTGCTGCACACTGGTGAACAACTACAGTCTCATATCAGAAGCACCTACATTTCGGGGGCAGATGAAATGATTTGGACACAGTGACCAGAGTATTTGCATGTTAAATAGCTGCAAGCATTTGGAATCCCATAGCATAGGAGAAACATTCGTGACACAGCATAAAAAACCAGTGGCAATTTGATGTTCCTAGAAGGAAACCAACTTCACGCAACTGAGAAAGAGGCTGTGGCTAAGATGGTGACACAATACAGGCTGTTTTCAGTGACTAATGACGCATTCCTTGAAAAACTAGATTCTTCTGAGCCGAGGACTCAAAAGGAGACATTTATCATTTCTGAAAATGTGTGATTTTTTTCTCCCATTCTTTTTCAGGACCAGATTAATGCACTATTTTACACTGATCATGTTTTTGAAACTTTTCAATCATTGTGCCTGCTTGTTTTCAATAGATCTTCCCACCCCCCCCCCCCCCCCCCCCCAGTTTGCCTAACCAAGGATAACACAACTCCCACTTGAAGAAAAAGGGACTGCATTTGATAGCCTTCTCTTGAAGCAAAAAACTTTTATTCTTCTGTGGTTTCAGGGAGTGTACCAGTAAAATGATTAGACAAGTTCCAAGTGGCACCACCCTAGAAGCAGCCTGGAAAATTCCACTGGTGTGTCTCTCTCAAAAGCTGTTTTCCAAAAAAATGTCAGCTCTCATTTCCTTACCTCCGCAGAATTCCTCGGGTTGCTGTTCTCATAGGGTTTGCTTTTGGGCGGAGGTGGGGGTGGGGTGCTCTGTAAGCCAGCAGCTGCCAATCCATCAGCTTGCAGTGAGGGGAAACCTAGAAGCAACAGTAATAAGAAAAGACATTAAAGTAGGCAGAAAAGGAATGAGAAATGGCATTGACCATGTAGCATTTTAAGGGAAAACCATTAATATCTTCTGTTTGCAATCTGCTAACAGTTCTCTGCTTTCGCAGCTAAACCTGAATGGATATGTCAAAGTCGTCACAGTTGTACCTCTCTTCAGTTCAAAATTCCCAGAAGAATTCTATCTTCATCAAATGAATCTAAGCTTATGTGAAAAATGCATGCCTGAGAGAACTGAAAATGGAATTCATTATCACATCTGCAATGTTCAGTGGGGTTTCCTTTCAGCCTGGGCTTCAACCTGAGAATTCACTTTGATTTTAACTCTAGTTGATGGAGTAGATAAGTACTCAAACTTCAGAAGAATTCCTGGGAAGCTGTCCTGCTACTAATGGCAATTAAAACCGCTGGCTATGTGAAAGAAGGAGGTTTCACATTCCTTTCACAGATCTTTTCTTCATATAGTATTTCTGCATTTGTTTGTGTTTCTGGTTGTCTCCCCGGCCCCCATCCTGATATGTATTTTCCGGTTTTAATCCTCTCACAACAGTTTTATACTATCTAGTTCATGACCTACACTGGTTTCTGAATTTATATCCACATAGAAGGAAGGACAGTCAGGTCCTACATATGAACTTCTGTTCCTTTTAAAAAAGAGCAGTAGAGTGAGAAATGCAATGGCAAGAAAGTTGTCGTGGTGACACTACAGTTGTACTTTTACCCTAGCTGTATTTACACGCTGCTTCAGGATTAACTACGGAGCTCACTGTATGCAAGGAAGGTAACTGCGCAAATTATCCATTTTGCTAATTCTTCAAGATAAATTCCTCCTCCTTCGGGTGTAACATTTATCAGCTGAGTTTCCAAGCTGCAAAGCAACTTCTCCTAAAACTTTCTGCCACTTAATGGGAGTTATTGTTCGTTAATTAACAAAGCCTTCAGGGCTCGCCCAGACAATTTAGCCATAGACCTGAGCAGAAGTACCACGCTGGATTGCTGCAGTTCCACCCAGTGACTTCAGAGGAGCCATTCCTCTAGTACGTGCTGTAACCACCTGACCTGATGAACCTACAAGCATCTACACTGACTGCATGTGATGTTCCCCCTGAGGTTTAATATACCTTCCCACAAGTCAATACAGGAGAAAACAAGACAGGAATTGAAAAAGATAGAAATCGTTCTCTGGAATTCATCTCATATACTAACTATAACAAGTGATATGTAAGTCTCAAGTATGATCGTAGCGCCTTTGGTAACAATGCCTAATTCTCTTATCTGACAAAAATGTCTACAAACATTAACAGCCCCAAGCCTCTTTCTGTCATCTACTTCAGAGCAGTCCCTCCCTCCCTCCCTCACGAGGTTACCTCAGCAAATATGTAGTAATTCCTACTACTGCAGATACTGCCCTGTAGGATGTGCCAATTGCTCTGTAATAGAACTTACTTTGGGTTCTTGGGGTTTTGGGTGTGATGGGTGGTGGGCTGCGAGGCGTTGATTGCTGGAGTGAAGAATTCTGAAGCAAAGTCAGTCTGTTGTCTCCTAATTGAAGGCTCTTTGGCCTTTGTGCTCTTCCTGACATGCCCTGGTTGAAATAAAGAGTAAACAAAACCTTTAGAAGTCAGCAAGGTTGCCTCGCACATAGCAGATAATCAGACCTGTCACAAAGGCATCAACATGCTCCAGAAGAGCCACAGTAAGAGAGAAAGGTGCATTCAGGTGAAACGTAAGAGTGAAACCACTGCACGGGCTGAACCATGTCCAAAGGCACACACTGGTGCTCCCATGACACACCCAGCCTTCTGCCGGACCTTACCAACTTGGCAGCAATAGTAAGCTGTTATTAATGACCTTAGTGTCTTAATTAAGAAGGGAAGATTTCAAGCTGAAAAACTGCTCTATTTGACTGGCAGTTCTGTGAACTGATTTTTTTTTGGAAAAAAAAGTCTTTCCAAGAAAAAGAAAAAAAAAAAAGATTAAATTTTGGGTGTAAGTCAGGACTGCTAGTATCACCCAGCTCCTTAGGGCTGTGAAACAAGTCTATTGCCGGCTTTACTGCGCAAACCCCTTGCATTTGGGACTTAGGAGTTGTTCCAGCTTCTTCCGGTGTCACACGTGTCCTCTGTGCTCTTCACTCAAATCGTGCAACCATCTGAACATGGTCCCAGGAGTCCAGTGCATGAGTAGTATGGTCCTTTTAAACATTAGTTTATGGCTTTACAGAGAAAGGCTATCACTTACACACGTAATTAAAAGCACTGGGCTCTTCTGGAGGTCAATTCCCCATCACTGAAAGTTCGGTATTTCTCACCGCGCAGAAGGGACCACACATTGACGTACAGTGAATATAAAACTTATAAAGACCAAAGCTGCTGGACGTACAACAAGCCTTTGGTTCCCTCTGGCTTTCTGGCTCCCAAGCAGCTTAGTCAAGAGCTGTATAAAATCAGTCCTTCCAATTCTTGTGCTGCACTATGCAGCTTTGGAACAGACCAGCTATAAAAAACAGCTTTCTCTGTACTTTGCCTTGTTCTTAAGCATGAATATAACCCTTCACTGCTCACTCACTTCAGTAAGTTGATCACACATGTAATTTGCCCTCAGAGATACGGGGGAGAAGGGAGGGTGGGTGTTCTGTTTCGCGTCTCTCACCTCTCTGCAGAGCCTTGGACAGACATGCCTTACTGTCCGAGTGAACTGGTCAATACAAATGGGCTCTCTCCCACATCTTTTCCCTCTAGTTTTACTTAATAAAGTGATCAGCAGCTGACATCACAGTTTGTGGGTTAAACCCATTTAATTCAAGAGCAGCTCTTCCAGAGGCAGAGGGCCAGGCCTCCTGAACCACTAATATTTACAACCCCAGATTTTCCTCGAGTGGAAAGCCTGTCAATACCAAATGACATGATTCTAGAACCACAGTTCCCCTTTTTATAAATATTCTGCAGACTCCAACTGCTGGCAGCATCACTCAGATTTGATGAGAATTCCTGAATATAGAGCAGCATAACCGGTTCCTGCCAGGTTCAGCTGAGATCTTGGGAGGGAACGGGAAATAGAAGAACTCATGTTTTCTCATTATTTATGCAGGCTGTGGCAACTTAAATTAGTATCACTGAGCCACCAGCTTAAATACTCAGATGCCTAACTCTTGCATACTCTCTGACAGCGTAGCAGTCTCAGCATAGCTCAGGGTAACACTCCAAGGTCATACAACCCTACTTTTGGGCTGAAACTTATCTGTTTGTATTACATGATTATTCTGAATCCCACTGTCAACCTGAATGCTGAACAGTCTCCAATATATTCCTCATTACTACACTCCTGTGGGGGTATAGATTCTCTTTTATTCCTCTTTTGCAAATAATTTGCTCAAGGAGTAAACACTCCTGCCCTCATGCGGGGGGTCTGGAGCAGAGTACAGACTGGAAGAGCTAGTTTTGCAAAGTCCCAAGCTGGTGACCTAACTACCAGACCATCTTTTTTCAACTCCCCAATCTATCAAATCGATCTTCACCTTGCAGTACATTCCAATTGTGCAGTGACGCTGACTGATAGCAGCCAAACATCTGGCTTGCCAGCTGGATTTCTGAGTGGGCTAGCAGTATCTGCTTGCTCCAACAAAAAGAGAACAATTCTACTTGGCGCTGAGTGCATCACGCAGTCCTCCACTCCTACAAGAAATGAAGGCACTGAGCACCTAAATGAAACATCAGTGCTTCGTGCTTCCAGTCTGTACCGCAAGCCAAGCTGCAGTTCGGTCTGTGACACAAGTTTTCCAAATAAAAAAGCAAGAACTACTCAGATGACCAAGGCTTTTGGTATTTGAACCTCTCCCACAATTTAATGAAGTTCCCAATGACAAGCATGGCTGAAAGCAACGGAAACACTGAAATCTCCTGCTGTGGATTTTATTATTGCTTTTTTTTTATTATTTTTATTTTTTTTACCATTTTGGAAGTTGGTTCCGTTTCTGGCTCCTTCTCTACAATAACCTGAGACTTGCTAATACTCCACTCCTTCCGCTTGAGTTTGCTAATCCGGTTATCACCATCATCTTTCATGGGCAGTTCCTCAGCTCTGGAAGCTGCTGATATTCTTCTCTCCAAGAGAGGCTCCAGAATAGATCTGTGGCCCACACCAAAAGAGTGAAAAAACATGAAACATTAGTCCACCAGACATTCAAAGCACTGTCTGTTAAAAAACTGTCATCTCTTAGTTTGCATAAGAGATTATTGTGAAAAACTGAGTTATGACCATGGAATTTTCAGTGAGATCTGTGCTCCTAAGTCACCCTAGCAATTCTAAGTATTATGCCTTCTGTACAAGATGAAGTGCGATCTACTTGCAGAGGGAGCCAGACCTGCTTTGTATGCTGAACCCTGCCACCGAGTCCACTGTGTGACTTTGAGCAAGCCACCTAGACTCTCTGGTTATCACAGATGCAAACTAGATGTACAGAGAAGTAACACCAGGAAATGTTCCCATGTGTGGCAGCTCTGTTTAATGCCATGTATGCAGCTGCAAACAGGTACATGGAACAAGTACCATATGAGTATGCACCTCTTTGCAGACCACATCAAACTAAACTACCTCATAGTACCTTACATCTCTGTTTTCCAGCAATCGTGGGAAACAGAAACAGCGTGCATCTGAAATACACTGCCTCTATCCCTCTTCAGTTTCATGCAGATAATTGGGACTCCAGAGGCAGACAGTCATGGCTTCAATTCCCAGAACTATCCCTAGCTGTGCTTCAAACTCCATGTCTGTAAAATGGAGTAACGACATTGGCCTCCATTTAAAGTTTTAAATGCATATGTGTTGCTATTGTGTATGGAATAAATCTTAATTTTAAGAGTTACTAATTCCAGCAAATCCGCACTCTTGTAAATCACGTGTAAAGGCTGATTACTAACCCATCTGAACCTGGTCTGGAGGAAGTGCTGTCAGATGACGTGGAAGATGTAGAGACCACAGAAGACGCCACAGATGTGACAGAGAGCCGTCTCAGCGTGGAAGACATGATATAGGGTAACACAACAGAGCCTGACCTGCTCTGTTTCCTTTCGGTGAGGGAGGGAGGCTGCAGACAAACACGTTTGTGATAAATCATGTAACACTAACTCACTCACAAGTGGGAATGGGGAGAGTTGTGTTTCTTTAAGGCAACACACTAAACAAACAGGCACGCTTACCAAAGTTATTACACCATACTGCTTCTCCACCTTCTTCTTCAGCTCTTTGAAACAGGCCGTCAGTCTGTCATGCAGAGGCTTCAGCTGTTCTGTCAGCTTCTCACCATGGATCCTAATCCCTTCTGCCAACAATGGCATCTGAAAGCAGGAACAAAATTACACTACGAAAGGACATATCAGCTCTCCTGTTCCAGGAAGGAATTTTCTATGCACGTTGCATATCTCAGATACAATCAAAGGACTTAAAGCAATGTGTTTTAAGCTTGCAGAGGCAAAAAAAGAAAATCACACAGTACGTAAACTCAGCTACTGACTCATAACTTGTGACACTGTAGTAACTTGACTGTTCGAACTCCATGTCCAAGAAACATGAACACTTTCCCCATCTACACCTATGGTTTCCTCTTCCCTACTCACATTCTATAACATGCTTTGGAAAACAGAGCACGTTACATGTTGGAGCATCGCTTCTTAGCCCCCAGGGCTGTATGACTGTGAGGTAGCTTTAACCGGACGCTGTTGTGTGGAAATCTATAAAAACTGGTCTGCAGCGGTGCAACTTCCATTACAAAAAAACCAGGGCAATTTCTCATTGCTATGCAGGTCAAAATAGACAACTTTCAATGGTCAGACTGACAAAACATTAGGCCTCATGATTTCATGAAAAGGTAACAGCTATTTTATTACACTCATGAAGGAAAAATCTATGCCATGCTGGCAAATACTCCAGAATAACATTTCAGAGCAACACAAGGTACATGGAATAGTCTAGGGCACAATTTCAGAATACAACACTTTCCTCAAAATAATAGTAAAAAAAAAAATATCCCTGTACACACATCCAGATTGTTCTTCTAGTATATATTTGCATTATCTCTTCAGAACAATGACGCTGCAAAAACCACCAGCACTCACACATAGTGCTTCCCAGTCTTTCCCAATATGATACCTGTAGAGCAATTAGTTGCTTAAGCAGTTCGATTTTATCTTGATCTTCAGGATGTTCTTGAAGATACTTCTCTGTGAAAAAGGCCTGCAAGCAAAACCAAAAGATGATATAGGCACTATGTTGCTTTCACAGCTAATCCTGAAAGATCGCAGTACGTTAAGAGCAATTAATTGACATTATCCCTCGTAGCAAAGTTTTTTTTTAATATCTCCCTGACACAAACCTGAGGGAAAAGAACCATTTATTGAGAACTGAGGAAAAAAGAGACCTTTTTTGTAACAAACCCCCTAAATTCTACTATTTTTTAAGTGAACACTGATATGTAAAAAAAGTTGCTTCATCGGCAGGGTTTTCTTCAGTTCTATTTCCTTTCTCATAAAACAGTATTGATTTGAATAACCAAGGTTACATTACTTGTCGCTCAAATGCAAGTAGCAGATCCAGCCTCTGAGTTCTCACTTCAAAAAGTCTCTTTCATTCTCAGCATTCAGTGACCTGCAGTACACGACGACATGCAAACCACCTCAGCTGCAGCAAGGTGAACAGGGCACCTCCTGCCTGCAAGTTCCAAAGCTCTATGAATTAAGCCCTTAAGCAGAACATTTTCACATGGGGCTTGTTACGAGGACTCAGTAGAAATAAAGACTGCGTTGAGAGTTCGACTCACAGTTTGATACAACAAAGCACCTTTAGTCTACACTTCTTCTGTGTTTACCTTTAATCAACAGAATCTGGTATTGGTTTAAAGTTGAACAAACACAAGTACACTTTCCTGGACTGAAGCCTTAAAATTGTGCCAATTTACATTATGTGCTACAGTGTATTGCACTGAAATGTATCACAATCCCTGGTCAGAAGAATTCAATTTTTCTTTTTCCTAGATAAAATCCTTCATAATTTTTCATTTGGTTTTAAAACGCATCTCTGATGTATTTCAGCCTCTGCATATATTTCTTAGTTCTGCGTTCCATTAACTGGACCGTAAGTACAAGTGTTTATAGGCCTAGCGGTACGCCTCTGAAACAGGCTGATGTCAAGAGGAGGTTAGCCCGTGAAAGGACTGCCGGATAGGTCCCAGCAGATTTCTCTTGAAAGTGTTTAATTATTACAAGAAGAAAGCGCATGTTAAAAACGCAGACTTTGGCTTTTGGCTACAATGAAACAATTAAAACTCAAGATTTTAGCCGCCCACAAAAGCCAAATGTTCTGTACTGATCTCCAGTTGAAATAGGAAAATATGAACCAGAAATGAGTATTTCCAGATGTGGTTACAGATACTTTGTGTTTCCTAGTTTTAACTGCTTTCCCACTTTCGTAATTCTAAACTTTATGTCGACCTTAATTCATAAAATGGGAGGATTTAGGGCCAAATTCAGCCCTGACAAAGTCTGCAGCTCCTCTGGAATCAGCAGAGTCAGATCCCAGATAAATCATACCCTCTCCCATTTAACTTTTGCACGTCATTTCATGTGACTGGAACACATCTGAGAAGAATTAAATGTGTTTTAACACCATCCATTCAGTTCATGGAAATAAGCAATACATTTTGTGCTGGGAATACCATCACTAGATACTGGAAATAAACAGCTGAAGTTAAACATCACCAAAAAAAAGGAAGAACGTACGCTGTTCGACTGAAGGCAACTGAATAAACCTGGATAAGAAATCCTGCTTTTTTCCTGAAATACATGCTCTTTGCTGCAAGACTCCAAAGACAGATTATCTGCTGGAAAGAGAAATCCTCATTTGCCTTACCGTTCTATATTAACACACTGGAGAAACGCTAGCTCTTGTGGTTTTTTTTTGTTACTTGCACCGTTCATTGGGCTGACCAAGAACCTCAATGCCCCCACGAGGTAGGATCATGTTATTATCACCACTGTAAACGAGGCCCAAAAGAGCTGAATCACTCAGCTCTGTGGCAACGCACAGCACTAAAATTAAACACTAAAGATGTGGGGGTTTTCCACCTTGCACTCTAGCGGAAATCTCTTATCTTCGTTCTTTTCGCTTCTTCTTTGAGCTCTGAACACACAGATACAGAATGCACTATGTCTGGGTAATAGCTGAAAACTGAACTTGAATCTCCCATGTTTCAACCCAGGTCTTGAACATTGCAGAGGTCAACAGACTGAGCTACGGGTAAATGTGAAAAAGACCTTTTCATAGTTGGTATATCCCCCCATGACCGCTGGGTCCACGATCCCATTCAGGAGCATAGAGAGAGGATGTACAGGAAGACTCCGGTCCCAGACGTGCTGTTGGACAATGTTGCTGATTTTCTCATTGGTTAGCTCCATTGTTTCTATGGCGTTCTCCAAGGGGCTGATCTCTTCCTGTCAGAAGGAAGGAACAGAATAAACTTCTACTTGCCTCACTGAATATGAAGTTAACTAACTCCTCGTATATGAATGGTGGCCCAGTAGTTTCCAGCAGAGGATTTTGGACCCCCCGTGCTAACTTTCTTGCCATTCAGATGAATGCAAGAATGATCTGATACCTTAACCTGAAGGAACAACAGTTTAGGACTTGGCTGCTGACTGTGGAGTATATTACAGAAGTAACCGCTCTCCCAAGCATTATACAGTCAATGTAGAACTCTGCTGCCTTGGGTAGAGCTGTCTGCAGAATGGCATAAAAAGACAACCACATCAAAGAAGATACACATTCACTTTCATCTGAAGCAGAAGTTATTGGTGTGCCACATCCAGCAGTGGAAGTACGAGTAGTCCTAACTGTTGCAATACTCTTTACTTCAAGAACAATTGGAAGGGATGAGACCCAGCACTCACCGTTGTGATCT